TATCATATGTTTTTAGAGACATGTGCCTTAAGGAGTCAGTGCACTTCTATTTTTTCTATATGTATGGCCACTGCAGTATAATAGGTGTAGCCAAAGAAAAGTTGTGCTGGTGGATTTATCTCCTGTTTGCAGTTTGCATTGCTGGTTGCAGCAGCAGACCAAAGATAGAGCTCTCAGAGCATCTTGGTATTCAGAGCTTTCATCCAAATCAGATCTGTTTTCTGAGTTAGCAATCATTTTCTGATATTATCAGAGTTCTGTTGTGTTTGTTCATTTTCCCCTCTAGCATGACTGACAGATTTATAACATTACAGGAGGAGAAATTAGATACTAGACAAAGAGTGTTAAAAAACAGGCTATGAAAACATTCCAAGGGACTTTTTATATTGTTACAAAATTTCCTTTATATTAAATTTTATAAAAGTTAGAGCAGGAAGATTTTTGTAGTAGTTGACTGGCCAATATTTTTGTTTACCTTCAGTCTTTTGCCTTTTATATTCTAGTTGCATCTTTACATACTTGTTAAAATAAATTGCTGACTATTTGTTTCAGTTTCCCCCCCAAAAAACCCCCAATATTCATGCTGGGGTTGACCAGCTCCCACCTGGGCTTGCTCTAAGATGGGGATCAGCTGTTCTGCCATAGGCAGGGACATCTCACTTTGAGCTGATCTGAAAAGTTTGTACTTTTAATATCTATGAGTTCTAGGCTTGATTAGTGAATTCGTATTTCACAAGTCTTTAACCCAGTGGCAGAATTTGGATCTTTAATACCCAGGGGTTTTTTATGATTTTCTTTTTATGATTTTCTCCTGGAGAGGAGGAGGTAGGGGATAACCAGCAGTTCTTTCTGCTGGAGAAAGCGTGTCCTTAATTAACTCAAAGGAGTGGTAAAAGAGTTAAAGATGATGGTGTATTAAGAAAAAATAATTTCTACCTTTAAAAAAATATTTGGAAGTACAGACAAGCCTGCATAGATAGTTTTATTAGAGTCCCTGAGATAACATCTCATTTTTAGTCTAGACACTCTGAATTACCACCCACAGTGTATGGTAAGAAATTATCATGAGGAAAATCTTTTGAAAATTTTTCTTCCCGTCCTTTTGTCTTGTACCATGAGAGAAGTTAAAACATAAAAGTAGAGCTTCAGATTTTCTCTGAAAATTAAAAAGTCTTTTAAAAGATCTAGGGGAAAAAATGACTTTTTTTTTGCTACTAACTAGATTAGTCTATCCAAGAAATCACTTTAAAGAAAGGGCTAGATCACATTGTATTACCACATGGGGTCATGTGCTATTAATAATCTTTAATAAAGAGAATGTAAAAATATAAACTTTACAGTTTTGTTTTTCTGCATTCAGAGGCACATTGCTGGCTAAGATGGGAGAAAAAGTTACAAGTTTCAAAGCTCTGTTAACGTTGTTTGTGATAAGCATTTGCATTTATGAAATTTGTTAAGCTTCCATATGTCATGTTGCATTCTGGAAACTATTATGTATAAAATTAGCATATAGAAATTGTTTCTAAGCAAAACCAAACTTTCTAGAAAGGTAAAAAGTGACTGTGTGGTCTACAAAGGAACCTTGGCTGCCAACCAAAGTTCCTTGGCTGAACAGAGGATGTGAGGGCACATCCTATGTTTTTTCTGATGAAGTTTCAGAGCATTTCCTCTGGGAGAAAGTCAGGATGTACACAGAGGGTCTGGTCTGGACTAGACACTGTGAAATGGGTCCTGCAGGCTGGACATCACCTTTCCAAACAAGGGGGTTTGGATGGATCAGCTTTTCTTCTGAGGACAACACTGGAATTGCTTGATGGGTGTTTGTCCGCTTTGTTTATGGTCCCACGAGAGGTAAAGACATTTCACCTACGGAGAAATAGGAGAATATTGACACCTATAAAACCATATACTAATTATATAACAGACATACGCAGTACAGGTGGAGAGATTAAGTTTCAAATAAGTTACTTCTACAAATCTCATTTACTGTTAATGGCAGTTGGGGGTTGCCTATATTTTCTGCCCTTGGTGCTTTCTCTCATTAAGGGAAATTAAAGAGTTGAAATTATGGATCTGTAATTGCTCTTTAGGTAAGGATTATTCATTGTCTTACTGAAGAATGTGATGTGGAATAGAGCACTGGCATGCCAAAAATGATTCTCAAGCAAAAAACAACTGCATTGAGCATTTCTAAAGATGCTGTACATGATTAATTCACCTCAGAACAGTAATATTCTTCATCTGCAGTATGGTGTTAGTCAGGAATCACTGCTACTTTTCTTAATGAAGTTTTAATAAAGTGTTTAAGCTGCTAAAGTTACCTGGAGGTTCAGCTCTTTGCTGCTCAAAGCATATGCAGCACATTTTACTTCAAAGAAAGATCAAGGAGGATCATGTGAGAAGTGTGTGATGGGTGGAGAGTGGCTGAACGTGAGCCTGGGTGTGCCCAGATGGGCAAGAGGCCAAGGGCACCTGGCTTGGATCAGGAATAGTGTGTCACAGCCCCAGGGCAGTGCCCATCCCTGTGCTGGCTCTGCTGAGGCACCTCCAGTGCTGGGGCACTTCTGGGACCCTCAGGACAAGAGAGACAGTGAGGGGCTGGAGCCCTTCCCCAGGGAGGGGGCTGGAGCAGCAGGAGCAGCTGAGGGAGCTGGGGGGGCTCAGCCTGGAGCAAAGGAGGCTCAGGGGGGACCTTCTGGCTCTGCAACCCCCTGACAGGAGGGGGGAGCCGGGGGGGGTCGGGCTCTGCTCCCAGGGAACAAGGGACAGGATAAAGGGAAACGGCCTCAGGCTGTGCCAAGGGAGGTTCAGGCTGGACATCAGGAGGAATTTCTCCGTGGAAAGGATTATCAAGCATTGAAACAGGCTTCTTAGGCCAGTGGTGGAGTCACCACCCCTGGAAGTGTTCAAAAACCTGTGGGTGTGGCTCTTGAGGACAGGGATTAATGGTGAACATGGTGGTGGTGCAGGGTTGGTGGTTGGACGTGATCTTTTCCAACTTGAATAATTCTGTGATTCCCTGTGCATGCATTTATGGGCAAGTAAGAAATGAAGAAAAATGTAAAAATAGCATTTTCTCAGTTTAGTTCAGCAGTTTCAAGGTAATTATCTTTATAAATACTTTATGGTGCTGTTAAAGCACACCATTGTTGGACAGCACAAGGATCCTTTTGTAAAAAGGGTAAACTGGTGTGGAAACCACAATGGGGTTCAGTGGGGTTTGTGTGTTGCTGCCTTTGGAACAGAATCAGCCTTTTTCAGAGACATGATATATTTGCTTTCTAAAGTTGCCTGCATTGTCTGGGGATGAGGATTAAGGCTTAGACTTTTTATGTTTGATCTCTCTGTGTCCAGGAGGTATTATTTATATGCCATGGGATTTACTACATGATTCACATTTCCAGAAGGAATAAAATCATTTGCTTTCAGTAGGAAGGTTCAGCCTGTGAAGAGGCAGATTATAAAATTGTGATACAATTGTTTTGAAGGAAAAAAGTATATGTAAGAGCTTGTAGTTAGACTTGACAAGCTAATTAAATGTTGTCCAACACTTAATTATTAGGACTGTAGTAGAAAAGGAATGTATAAGTATTTTGTAAATCCATATTTGAACAGGCAATTTTATTTTTAAAGTTTTACATGTTTGGGGGGGTTTTTTGTTTTGTTTTTATTAGTAGAAAAACCTTAAAAACAGAGCAAAATTTAGGAAAATTAAATCGGTTAATATACATGATATTATGAAAGAATTCCTCCCTGTGAGGGTGGAGAGGCCCTGGCACAGGTTGCCCAGAGAAGCTGTGGCTGCCCCATCCCTGGAAGTGTCCAAGGCCAGGTTGGACGGGGCTTGGAGCAACCTGGGCTAATGGAAGGTGTCCCTGCCCATGGCAGGGGGTGGAATGAGATGAGCTTTAAGGTCTGTTCCATCACAAACCATTCTATAATTCTGTGATTTTTCCAATAAAAAGCTCTTCGATAGACAAGGATAGAAATCCCTCTTTCAAAGGTGAAATTGAGATAAAACAAGGCTGGGATAAAGATATTGAGTAGAGAAAAATCCAAACCCTTGGGCACACAATGAAAACTATTCCAGAACAAACGCTGGAAATTTGTCTTCAATCATTACTGAGCTTTTTTGTGTAAAGTGATTTCCATTAGCTGGACACGCTCCAGGTTCAGCAGCCACCACCATCCTTCCAAGCCTGTGGAAATAGTGATCTGCCACCTTTTTTTGTCTGATGTACGAGAGAAAATCAGAGGAAAGACTTGTCCCAGTGCCACCTGGCAAAGGACAAGGACTATTAGATTAGAACAGGAACCCTGTTTGATATCCAGGAATAGGGAGCATTGCTGACCAAGAGGAACATGCCTTACAAGTGGGGATTCCAAATGGAGTTATGCTGATAAAGGAAATTAATCTGAGATTTTTGGAGCTGCTCCCGGTAGATATTTGTTTTGCACAGGAAGGATTATGTGAGCACTTGGAAGGAGGTGTTTATTTAGATTTTTTTTTTCGTTAGTTGGCCATATTTCTTATCTATGTTTACACACAGAACTGCTGAACCAAGAATAATTGAGAATATGTGATTTTTCTTTTTTGAATGTGTACCTCTACCACAAAGGTATTAATTTGTAAAGCGGGTTTTTTTGGAATATCCAGTAACATCCACTGATATCTAAATTGCAAAAGTAAAACTTGTAATTATTTGGATACTTTATGTACATATTATGGAACTATAAAAGCTAGGGAAAGTCTTATAAAATAGCAATGATAAAAGTGTTCCCAAAAGAGGAGAATACTTTCCATTAATGAAATCAAGAGGTAAAATATTTGAAGCAAAGTAATGTAATGAAGTATGACTCAGTTAATCTTAGCACTATTAAAAACTTAAAATATTAGAAAAATTCTATAAAATGAAATTATAGCCTTGCAGTAACATCCTTTTTATTCAGTACTATTTCTCATTTATCAGGTTTCTGCTAATGGCCTTAGAGATTTAGAGAAAATAATCTGAGTGGTGTGCTTCCAAGGGAACTCAGTTAAGTCTGCCTTTTGGATTATTGTTTTGGGATCTGGATGATTTAAAATGAATAAAACCTCCCTGTGTAACAGTGATAAAGATTATATGGTTAGCACAGTATCTTTCAACATACAGCATTTAGGGGAATCTAAGAGTGTAAATTCCTCCAACATTTGTCATGAAATGAAATAAGGATTTGGATCCACTCATAATGGAAAAAAAATCAGCTTCTATAAAATTTTTAATAAAAAAAAGCACTTTATGTTCTTGCACATACCCTGAATGAGTTGTGTTCTGTGTTTCAGCACAAGGTGCTCACATTTGTCCTAAGAAAATGGAAATATCGCACTGAAAAAATACTACTTCTTTTCATTTTCCAAATGTCATCATAGAAAAAGCCCAGTTTTTCTGTCTAGCTCTAAATTGCTTTACCAATTAATGTCAATTTTTGGGTTGTACCGTCTTTGGGGACCCATTTCCTGTTAGTGAAGTGAGAGCCATGAGAACAGACTGCCTAAGCTTGGGTGTGTTAAAGCAGGAACTAGACAGTATGGAAAATGGGAAAATAGTGCAAAATTCACTGTTCTTTACTGATCAGGTCAAAACATAAATAATTTCCTTAATCAGAATATTTTTGGGAATATGTACCATCTTTATATGGTGCTTCCTCACTTGATGTCAGCCTTGGCTTTGCCTTAGATGTTACCCCTGCAAAAGCTCTTCATTTGATGTTCCATATACAGCAAATATCTATAAAGTTCCATATATAGTTTTAGAGGTATGTTTTCCTGTCAACAAGTAATATATAGTGATATATTTTGCTGATATATAGTGATAAATTTTACTGCTATGTAGTGATATATTTTACTGCACCTGCACTTAACTGCAATGAGCAGCTTTTAAATGGTGACTGTTATGAGGATAATGAATACCAGCTTTTTTTCTCTAGGATATTTATCAGAGGAAATTACTGGGTTTGTGCAGTCTAATATTTAAATATTTTCAAATATTTAACAAATCACGTGTTCTCAGGGCTGAGACAATTCAATCATTTAATCCAAGAGAACTAAAAGCAATAAAATAGAAAATTCAGCAGTAACTTTAATGGATGTGGCTGTTGTTGTACAATAAGCTTTACAAAGTCATTCCACTATTTTGTTGTTTACATAATTGTTTCCATCCACTGTAAGTGTTGTAAACTATTTTCAGTAAATAACATTATTTTTGTTAGGTAACACAACTAACAGCTTTCTTTTTGAAGTGCTTAGAGTGCTATTGTTTATGAGACAAAGCAATCTCTAAATATATTTACGAACCACAAAGCAACTTGAAAGTTTCCTTTTGATCCGTTTGAGGTTCTTATTCAGAACTGTGTGAAAATTATCATATATGACGGGTTCTTTGGCTGCAATGACAATATATTATGGAAAAGCTTGAAATGCTATGAAAGGCTGTCTCATCGTGTTTTTGTACTACAAAAGGTTCTCATTTCAAGCCCGGGCTCTGAAAGTCTGCCTCATCCTGTGCTTCAACAAATTAAAGCCTACCTTCTTCCCCCTGCAATTATTTTATAATTCTTTAGGTATACAACCTCTTGTAAAAGTATATAATCTAATTTCAAGCCTAGTTTGCTTCTAATTATCTGTTTATCAGCAATTGAGATTTTTTTTTCTTCTTCCTCGTAAATTTGAGGCTTTGGGAAGAAAAGAACATCTGGTATCGAAAAGGAATGCATTAATTATCTAGTCTCTAATTTACTATTTAATTTAATTTTTACTTATTTTAATTATGAACATTTAATTTTGCCTTATTTTAATAATGGTCAAAAAATAGTTTTGTTTTGAGACTGCTGTTCCCAGTGTTCAATTTTCCTCTTAAAAAGTGGGCTCTGAAGTGGATGGAAGCTTTATGTGTTTGTTTGTGTATCATAAATCAATTTCTTGATAGAAGCTATGACTAATTCTCTGCTTAGCAAGCTAAGCCTCTTGGTTTTCCTGTGGAGGGTTTTATTTGATCCTTCTGATGGGCTGTTCATAGTCACAGTGTTGCTGAATTCAAGAGGTGTGAAGATTTTTGTCTTTTTTTAATTTATTTTTGGTGAGTGAAAGGCACTGTGTGAACAAAAATACAATAATCCACTGTAATATTTTCCAATTTTATTGGAGATTTGGAGTCCTCTATCCCCTAGCCAATACTAAATTTTCCCACTAAGTCAAGGAAGAGTTAAGTGACCAAATTTCATCCCAGTCTGCTGTGTATCTGTAAAGTGCAAATCTCAAGATAATGTCAGTTCTTTCTGACAGATTCCCATTTTAAAAGCAAAACCAAAGGCTGATCTCTGCTTTAACCTTTCCAGTTGCAAGATAAGCGTAGAAGTCAGGACACAAAGTGGCTTTGGCAAACAGAATGACCCAGTAGAGTTACCAATCCATGAACAAATGGGATGTGTAATTATCTAAAATAAAAAGGAAAAGCTTATGGAGAAAAAGCTAAAAACCCCAAACAACTTTCTCGACCAAGCACAGACCATCCCTGTGCATCCAAAGCTGCTGCTCTGACCCACAGGGTGGTGGGAATACCCAGGAAGGGTGTGGAATTAGAGGTGGGGGCAGAGAAATATCAGAAATAAGACATATTTCAGCCCTGTTTCACATGTATATCAGGAAATATTGAGAGAAAATACAGAGAACAACTTGGAATTAAGTCCAGCTTTTTGTGTAAGAGTAAATACATGCATTCTTTAAAACCTGTGTAGGTCAAAACAATTTGAATGCCTACAGAACCTTTAGTGATGCATTGATTTGCTAATATGATGATGAAGTACCTCTGTCCACAGTTTTGTTGTGGGTAAGGTTTTGTTAAATGTTTTCTTTTTATCTAACCCTGTAACAGAAGTTCTACAGTATCTCAAAGATCATTTTCCAAACACTTCATTGGAGAGTGATTCAGGAATTCTCTGATGCTTGGTTTATTACTCAGTAGTCACATCTACTTTTCTAAGCAGGGTATGTATAGAATCCAGATGCATAAGTGTCTTGGCATTAAACTGAATGATTTGGAGAATGGTGAATATTTTTATAGGAAAGATTTCTTAAGAATATTAAGGGGTGATCTTTAGCTGAATCCATAAGTGAAAAATATAGGTTTTTAAGTGAAACTTTTTGGAAAGATAAAGTTGTTTCTCCTGTCAAATCTTCATTATCCACTCTGCCTTGGAAGGAGGGTGAAGAGTCTGTGCTCAGATGTTCTCTCCTTTCTTAGTCTTGGCAGCACTAAAGGAAATTACCTGCTTTGTAATATTTATGAGAAATCATAGCAATCTTTTACATGATTTTGGGAAGTAAATTCAACTCTGCTTTCAAGAAAGGACAGAGAACTAGATACAGTAAAAAATATGCAAAATAAAATAGTGACAATCATATAGAGGTAATCAGGTCCTCAAAAAGGCAAGGCAATGCAAAATCAGGTTCACCGAGTTAAAAAAAATCTTGGTTCTAAATTCCTTGAGATTTCTGATCTTATCATTTTAGGTGTTTTTAGTGGCCACTGCTAAAATTAAAATATATTTCCTATTTTAGCATTAAACTCAATTAAATAGAGAGACTTACAGTTCAATATGCCAATGTTTAAACAAGATTTGAATGTCAATTAAATTTACAGACTCATTATCACACATAGACCTCTTGGATTTTCTGCCATTATTCAGTGTATATGTTATAATCCATTATACCAAATACTACCACCAAGTCATTATTTTTAATATAATCTTTAAAAAATGGATTATTTTTAATTTTCAAGCATTAAAATTATTTCATTTATCTTTAACTGATACAGTCGTCACTGTCAAAATCTTGGTGATCCTTTCCCTTTTCCCTTTAAAACATTCACTGAAAAGCAAAGCACAAAGGCACAAAACCTTACCTGGCACAAATAGTTATCCCTTTCAGCAATGAATTCTTTCTGAATAAGAGTTTATTTCATGGTCTGCATGAACATTAATGCCTTCAAGACCTGTTTTGGGTGAGAGAGGGTGATGAAGGAGAGCAGAGTTCAAGTGGCACCTGGGCTAAAATGTGCCAGTCAATTTCAGCTTGTTCAGAACTGTTTTATTTGAGACAGAAATCAGATTAGAAGAAAAATGGAGACTATGTTAATGTATTAAAATGGCTGTAAGGAAAGAGAAGGAACAAACAGCAGTAATAGACTGCAGAGGCAGAGGAGGTGACACCAATTGTGATTTTCGATGCATTACTGAAATCTAATGTGCTGGTTCATAGAAATGGAATATTAATGAAAATGAAAATGAGCAACTGAAGGAGCCATGTAAAAGAGAGATTTGGAGAGGTAGTATTATGTCAAAGGAATCTTGGTTTCTGGCATGCAAAATGAAACTCTAGGGAACACAGCAATGAAATCTTTGGGAAGTGGGAAATAATGCCCAGGAAAAAAAAGCTGGGTTATAATTTCCCTCCAACTGCTAATGCTGAAGGACACAGAAATTGCAGGAGGTATCTGAAAATTTATGGAGTTATGCTTAGAAGTGACCTTGTAAAATAACTAAGATCAAAGGAGGGAATATACAGAAAAAAAAAATTAGCACTCATTTCTGAAAGTCCAGATTATGTGCATCCTTTGGGTATTAAGGAAATTATCTGGAAATACCCTGTGTACCACTGAGAACTTCCTTGTGAAAAGTCACGTTTTACTGGGAAAGTAAGCAAATATTAGAACAAAGAAAATGGAGTGACAATTTTCAGAGGACAGAGGAGTGAACCAGGTAATTAAAGATAATTAATTTTAAAAGGCCAAGGCTTAGTTCACAAAAGGCATTTAAAGTAGAACTGGGGCAGAATACAGACAGTTAGTGTTAGTTGTGTCAAGAAGTGTAATCCTTCTAATTTCTGCCTGAATGTGAAGAGACAGCAATCAGCCAGTGCTTCCAAATGCTCCAGGAAGATTTATCTAAATCCTGGTCTGTTTTCTTACACAATATTGTACTGTTATATTACAGCTTAGACTGTTTCACACCTTGCCCTGGGTGAGGTCTGTAATTATTCCAGGTCCCTCACACCATACCTGATACCCAAAGTTCTTGTCCTCTTCATAGATAGGGATCTGTGGATGACCAAAGTATCACCATTCCTACAAGAATTCAACATAATCTGGCTATAGGGTAAAAAAAGATTACATAGAAAACTGAGATCCTGAGAAAAGCACGTGGTTGTTTTCCCCTAGAGAAGCTGGTCAGGCTGAAAGAGTTTAGATGGTTCAGTGGTTTCAGAAGAATTGGAACTGAACAGTGGGATAGCAGAGAATACAGAGCACAGTAAAGTTCAGGGTTGATTGTGGTAACAAGACAGTGAAGTGAAAAGAAAACCATAGTCAGCCAGACAGGTGAGGGCATTCTCAACTCAGTAATCAATCCCAACAGACAGAACGAGTTACGTTCAGAGTCACAGACGTTCTGTTTTGGCTGCTCTACATCCTTCCATGTGATGATGAATGTGAATACAAGAATGAAAATTATGCATATGTTCATGCGATTTTGACAGCAGCAACTTCTCCATGAGCTCTTGACTGAAATGACTGATTTTCCCTGTGAGAAAACTCGCCTGTGTGCCCAGGTTTCAGAGCTGTCATGTGTGAGACACAGTTATTCCCTTGACTATGAAAGGGTGAGCAACCAGTGGAGCCAGCATTCCTCACTTCCAAGGGCCTTCTCCACTCATGTGCAGAAATAATTATCATACTCTAATTGTGATTCTTTGAAATCTTCATTGTCTTACGTCATATATTCGATAGGGAGGTTTTTAGGGTGGTGTAAAGGAATAGGTTGAAACGTGCATTTAAAGCAGCTTTGAACCTGCCTACTGTACCTGCGTTTTGACTCTATATAGAAAGAAAACAGTTTTTCAGGTACGTTACCATACTCATTCTTTCTAAATCAAGAGATGGACCATCACTCTAGGATTATTTACAAATTCTGAATCCTGACAGGAGGCAGAGAACTTCTTGAACCCCCTGAGCTTAGCATGTAAACCTCAACAGTACAGACCTTTTTCCTTAATTCAGGTGGAACCATTCTGGGGTTTTCCCAGTCAATGCAGCAGAAGCTCTGAATACCATTCAGAGGTATATAACCCCTCTAGACACAGTCACTGACATTGAGGATGTGGATTTCAGTGAGAAATCTAAAAACTTAAGTATAAAAAGTAAGAGCAGGAAAAAATAAATCCTATGTTAAACTCCAGTTAAGTTGTGGTTGTAGCAGAGGTCAAGATTTTTCTCTGTAATGGCGATTCTGGGGTTAATCTAAGAGTAATTAGGACCTTTAATCATGTGATAGCTTTCATGGTGATGTTATTCTGAATGCAACTTGCAGAATCCCTTTTTAACAAATTGTGAATGGCAAATAGTGGCCATCAAGCAAATGGCATCAAACAACAGCAGATGAATCCAGCCTTGAACCAACCTGGCAAGGGATGTCTGGGAGTATAATCTCAAAGAGAGCAGATTTGCATGCTCAGGACCTAAACTGTTCTGTCTGTATGGATGTGTGATGACAAGCTGACAAGTGTGCCTGAAGTATATTCGAATTGCAGCATTTCAGGAGCAAAAGAACAAACCAATTACAGTGTAGGAACAAGGTTCAGAGCAAGGAGATGGAGTGAAATGTCATTCAGGAACTCGGATGAAACAGGACGTTTATTTTCTGAATCATAAATGACAGCAAGATTTCCTTAACAAAATATTCATGATTTCTTGGAATTACTCATAAAATGAGGCTCAGAAGAGTATAGACTGCAAAATTATGTCTCATCCATGTAAATTTTCCAGATATTATATTCAGGTCATGAAGTATAATGCCAGAATAAAGTATAATAGCAGTAAATATCAGAGGCATTTGTTAGACCATCTCGATAATTAGAGAATGTATTCCCAGGAGAGCAGAATTACTGTAATGTATGCAAGCAGCATGTTTGAAAACAACCCTCTTAATAAATGGAGTTGACAGAAAATACACTGCAAAAGGATTATTGGCAAAGGCATGTAAAGTAAGAGATTTGGCAGGAACTTTAAGAACACAAGTATGCATCACTCAAAGGCAAAGATTTCTGTCCAGGGAACAAGCTGTCTTTGTAAACAGGATTATACCCATAACAAGCATCTAAAAAACATATATGAATTCCATCAAAGAAAAAAAATCCTCCAACAGAAATAAGGGATATGAGGAATATTTCAGTGTCAGTCTTTTCAGGTTAATACTCGAAATAGTTAAAATTGTAAAGTCGGTTTTATTAATTTTTGAGTTTAATTGTTTATTTAATTGTTGCATTAACCAGTCACTTTGCTTCTCTCTGCCCATAACAGATGTTCATTATAAAAACTGAATACATTAAGATGATTACATTATTCAAACTCTTTGATAATTCATTTGTATTAAAACCATAAGACTCTGTT